TCGAGTCACTTTTGCTTAATGCCTGTTTGCATTCCAGATGTATTTATCTGTATAGTTATAGTTGTTGTTCAGGGTGAGGTTCACAATGAACCAGAACTGTTACTAAACATTATATTCAGCATGGTATGAGTTGTTATAATCTACACCAATGTGACATAAATGGTGAGCTTTACAATGAACAAGAACTGTTACTAAACATTATATTCAGCATGATATGAGTTGTTATAATCTACACCAATGTGACACAAATGGTGAGCTTTACAATGAACAAGAACTGTTACTAAACATTATATTCAGCATGATATGAGTTGTTATAATCTACACCAATGTAACATAAATGGTGAGCTTCACAGTGAACAAGAACTGTAACTAAACATTATATTCAACATGTTATGAGTTGTTATATTCTACACCAATGTGACATAATTGGCTGGCTATTCGTGCTCTACCCACCACGAATATCAAAACCCGATTTTTAGTGTTCTAAGTCTTCATACTTACTGCTGAGCCACTGGGGAGGGGGCTTTATCAGTATAGAAAAGTTGATGTAAGAAAAGTACATTTTTAAATTTTAGCTAATTTTATCCACCTCCACCCTCTGATGCAGTTAGAACACTGTGATGTCAGTGTTTAAAAAGAATAATGAAACATTTAGGGCGGTTTATAGATAGCATGCAACCACCATGGCCAGAACTTTAATTGGAACTGAGAGAGAGAGACTCTGTGTACTTTCGAAGATATCATACAATCGTGTTACAGGAGATAGTAAATTTTAAGTCATTCCAACTAATAGCAACGCAATAACAAAACTTAGGTAGTTAAAACTAGTATCCTGAAAATATGATTTTATTCTTTCCTTTCATTCTACTCCCACTTTTCACCGTGATTGGCGGTGGCACATTACACTAGTTATATGAGTTTGACGTCAAAACTTGATACGAAATTCACTACTGATTTCGTATGCCGATTGGTTAAAGAATGGAGCATCTCCACCTAGCGAGTGATTCCACAACATAGAAGTAGTTTAAGAAATTATAAGGTTCGGCCATTTTGAGGCAAAAACCCTAAGCCTCCCCCCCCCCCCGCTACCTCTTTTCAAGTTAAGAAGGTATGAAAAATGGCAATCAATACGATAATCTTACACAGTTTTAGTAAAAACGCGTTCATATGGCCTTTAATGATCTCTATTATAAAAACAAAAACGATGGCCTTGCTCCATTATCCCCACTTATTTCTATAGCTACCCTAGGGAACGTCAATATCCGAAAACAAACACACTTCGTACACGTGCCTGTGAAACGTGAGCTTGTGTAAAACGTTTGGTCCCGCTAGTTTTTGAGTGGGAGTGTGAACATAGTTACAAACATGGCCCCACCAGGGTGTTGAAAGGGGCCAGGAAAACATAATACAATGCCAGATTTTGGTTTAGCAATACCGAAAAGCTACTCTTAGACCTCCATCATGTCTGGATGATCTTCCGGGCTATATCATTTAGATAAAGACTCCCCCTACCTCCCTCCTATCAGGTCTCCCCAAATTTCCTGCCAAGTTTATTCCTACTAGCTCCAAAACTTTTTGAGGAGATCGTGGACAAATAGATTCCCAAATTCCCAAATAAATAACTTGAATTAATGTAGGTTAAAAATAGGTTATAGTTAAAATATAATGTAACACTGGACTACCAAAACCTTTCTCAGAAAACGACACACTAACAGTCGTGATAAAAAAAAACCTTGAAGCGTCAGATTTACGAATGATAAATTTATATGTATTTATTACAGGATTGAGTCATAGATACCGAACGTGTTTAATAAAAGTGCCAATTTTAACAGTGCTGCGTTACGTTGATATTTAATAATGTGCATTTTTTGTCCAATAATTTTGTGTTGATGATGAATTATAGAATTATTTAAAACTTTTTATGACAACTTTCTGAAAAAGACAGTATACACCAAATTACAAATATTTTAAAATTAGGTGGCTGGAAAGTAATTATAAAATAAACCCCTGTAGTCTGTTGATGATGATTAGAGAATAAGTAAAAGACACAGTAGATAATATACTGTAAATTGGAGGTAAACTATAATTTAGATACCAGTTTTGTCCCTGCTTAAAACTGGTCTGTCATTAGTCTTCGCAACGTTTGATACAACCTGTTAAAATAGGGTTAGCTACCAATGGAAGAAAATAGAAAGAGAAAACCTTTCGCGAATGAAAAACTTTTTATTGCCTTGTCGCTTCGCCTTTCAGCTTCTTTTGAGATCCTAGCGACCACAGTGGTAGAACAATTAACACAGACTTACCGCTTTCCCATCGGGGGAGGATAATCTTCTGAAGAAGCCGCAAGACGAAATGTTGAGGCAATAAACAGCAGTTCACCTGGAAAATATTGCTTTCTTCCCTGTAAATTATGTTTACACTCTAGTGTGTATCATGTCATGTGGGCCTTTTTTTCTGTTAATCATGTTCACACTACAGTATGCATCACGCCATGTGGGCCTTCTTGGAACTGAGATTATGTATTAATAATATCAGTTAACCGAATATAATACTATTTTTGTAACAGAATAACACTACTTGAAAGATAATTGTATATAATTTGAATATACGTCATGCGTATAAAAACTTTTGGCCCTTTCCAAAAATAGATTTATAACAGCAAAAAACAAATTGAATAAAAACAAAAAAACTGTCACACTGTGCGTTAAACGTTTGTTTTGTTTATTTGCTTAATTTCTCGCAAATCTACTCGAAGGTTGTCTGATGTCCGGACGAAATGAAACGGTCTAGTTTGGTTTAGGTTTTGTTTTTTGTAGGTCAGTACATAACGATGTGCCTTGAAATACGATGATCCAGTGACTAAAACTTTTAAGGCTCTTCAACTTTATTTTCGAAACCGGCAAACAATTTTCTGGAAGAAAATATATTTAGAAATTTTATTAGTATAAAGATTGATACACTAAAAATAATACATAAAATATTAAAATACACCAAACAAAAAAATCACATTTTTGAAAGAAAACATGCTTTTTATCGGTTTAAAAACTACAACTGTCTACTTCTGAGTGGCAAATTTAAATGAACTGCTTTGTTTTGAATTTCGCGCAAAGCTACGCGAGAGCTATCTACTTTAGCTGTCCCTAATTTAGAAGTCATAGACTAGAGGGAAGACAGTTAGCGAACACCACTCACCACCAACTCTTCGGCCACTATTTTACCAACGAAAAATAGGATTGACCCTCACATTATAATGCTCCCACGACTGAAAGGGCAAGCATATTCAGTGACAGTATTCAACCCCTTGTTCCCCAGATTGTGAGTCGGGCACCCTTATCACAAAGGCATGCCAGGCTCTGCGTTACATTTACAGATAACTTTTAAATTAAATATTTAAAAAAGTTATACCACGATTCACCTCATTTCCCCGCTGTGGGCAGAGCACACATAGCCTACTGTGTAGCTTTGCTCTAAAACAACAACCACCACTGTTCACACACAAACCTATAGGTTTTCCAGTATTTTACACCTTCACCACGCAATCAGAACCATCAATTCAGACTTGGGTCATTTTGTTTGAAAATCAATTAATCATTAAAGGGATTCAGATTCTCAGAGTTTCTGGTACGTATGGGTAAAACAATAAAATTAACACTTTGCAGTAAGCCAGTGTTTTTATGCATCTTCATATATAATGCCCACTTTGTAACAACTTATTGTACCGTGAGTTTTACCATTTCACCATGTCTGTTCAGTGAGCCCCAGTATCACAGCGGTATGTCCGCGGACTTACAACGCTAGAATCCGGGTTTCGATACCCGTGGTGGGCAGAGCACAGATAGCCCATTGTGTAGCTTTGTGCTTAATTACAAACAAACAAATAAACTGTTCAGTGATCCTGCTATTACCCTAATATAACACAACTTAGATTACAATGGCTATTAAGTTTGAACTGTTTTATGTATTGTTTTTATGTTAAAATAGGCGAGTCAACATACAAACTAAAAATAACGAGGCGTTATCAACCTCCCTAGTGGCCCAGCGGTAAATCTGAAGGCTTATATTGCTAAAAATCAGGTTTTGCTACCCATGGTGGCCACAGCACAGATAGTCCATTGAGTAGCTTTAGGCTTAACAACAAACAAACAAATCACCAAAATCTTGCAAATCATTTAAAAGGTTTGCTTGGTGTCAGTAACTTGGTATACTTTGGTTAAAGTTTACTCCTCTTATGAATTATTCGACTCACTATATCTTTACTATTAAACTTACTATGACTGTATTTGAACCAACTTTAACCTTCAATTAAATCTAAGCAAATATGAAATTCTGTCTTTGATTTATTGTGACATAAAACTGAACTTTGTATTTTTGTATATTTCGGGTATTTGCGCCAAAACTACAGAAGGGCTAACTATGCTAGCTATCCCTAATTTTGAGCTAATAGACTAGACGGAATGCAACTGGTCATTATCAGCCATCACCAACGCTTGGGTTACTCTAATTGAATAGTGAGATTTGATTGTCACTCTTATAACGCAACAACGGTCTTAAAGTGAGGAGTGTGATTTTTTGCTGTAATGGGATACGAACTTTGAACTCTAAGATTCACAGTCTGGTATGTCTGCGACTAAGCTACACCCTACTAAACTTTGTGTGCCAAAAAATGTCATCTCTACAGAAACACAGAACGTGCACGACTAAATACCAGTGACTTTTTGTTATTCATGTTATGCTCATTCTTTGTAATTATTATGTAACTTCTTATTTCCAATTTGTTGTTTTTCTTTTGTGGATGTATCTTCATAAAACACAGGAAAAGAAAGAATATAAAAATATATTGTTTGAAATATAAGTAAATACAAGTAAGTATTAAAAAACGAAAACCTTATTGTTCACTCTAGGCTAAAGTTATTGTCGATGCTTGATTTACGTAACAGCACATTTTTGCTTTACTGTTTATTGATAAAGAAAGGAAAAGGTTTGTCTACTGTTTTTTTTAGAACACATTGATGCACTTGCTCAAGTTAACCCGACTGCTACGTTTGGCTCGTCTGCTTCAAAAAATGGACCGCTACTCTCAGTACAGTGCCATTATTCTAACCTTGTTGATGCTGATGTTTTCATTGGTTGCTCACTGGATGGCCTGCGTCTGGTACGTCATTGCACTTGAAGAAATAGATGCCAATCCAATCCAGTGGGATGTAGGTAAGATAGAATTTATTTCAAGGATTTTATACCTCTCACATATAGATACCAATCCAATCCAATTGGGTGTAGGTAAGATAGAATTTATTTCAAGGATTTTCTACCTTTTAAAATATAGATGCCAAACCTGTTGGATCTAATGAGATAAAACTGATTTCAAGGATTTTCTACTTTTTAATATACAGATGCCAATCCTATCTAGGGGTATGTAAGTGAGACAAAATATGTTTCAAGGATTTTTTACCTTTTAACATATAGATACCAATCCTATTGGGTGTAGGTGAAAAACAAACTGATATCAAGGATGTTCTACCTTTTCATATACAGATGTCAATCAAATCCAATTGGGTGTATGGTGAAATAAAATTAATTTCAAGATTTTCCTACATTTTCACACAAACGTAGAATGGCAATCCAATCCAGTGGAAAGTAGGTGAGGCAAAACTGATTTTAAGGATTCTCTATCTTTTCAGATCACACACTTATCGAATAATAAGTCCACATGTTCTATGTAATATTCATATCTTTGATCAATATTATCTGCGTATGTAATCCATACCATATTTAAGTTATGTAAACGTATAGTTAGTTGACATTAAACTGGAGTTATACCGCCTTAGATGTTAATTGATGTTAATTACATTTTGAAGACATGATTGTTTTAGAACATGTATTGATCTGACAACTGTAACAAACAGAAATTTTAAATAAAGCATAAAATCATTTTCCAATACTCACTTTACCTTTGTTGGACTTTTGTTATTTAAGCCTATTTTCTTTCAGATTGTCGCGCAAAGCTACATAAAATTACATGCTTATAACCGTCCCATAATTTCGAGTTGTTATACTAGAGGGGGGGGGCAGATAGCCAATAGTACACATTTCCTACACTTGCGTAATTTCGAGTTGTTATACTAGAGGGGGGGGGGAGAGAGCCAATAGAACACATT